TCGAGGAGAGTAATCATTCACGTGCAAGCCATTCGTCTATGCTCAGCCTAGAACCTCGAAACTCTTCATTCAACTCAATTCTCCTGCCCGAGCTCGCCATTAGGACCTGCCAACAAAAACACAGAGACTCCAAACTCCAATTATTAAAATATAAAATAAAAAGCAAAAAGATAATAACTAAGAAAGCAGTAAATCACTTGGGTTGCCTCCCAAGAAGCGCTTGTTTAACGTCATTAGCTTGACGAAACCTGTGTGGAGCTCAGCCAGGGTCCAGAAAGAAGTGGCGATCGTGCCACGCCTTCGTATTTTCCAGAAGTGGAAGCATGGGAAGGGTGGCAAGAAGGCGAGCATGATGGATCCGGGTGGCTGTGTTCTGGAGGAATCTGATGTGGGCACGAGCAATCCCCAGTAATTGACATAGAGCTTTTCCCACCCGAGCTCTATCATCAATCTCAGGAATAACGAGCAAATCTGTGGAGCAAGTCGAGCTAACTCTGGCCCACTTGGTAGCACATTGTGATGGCTCCGAAGGTGAATGCTCCATCTCGGTGGCAGGAAGAGGAACTCGAGAGATGGTGACATGATCAAGTCCATGAATCTCCTCCTCCGAAACATCGTCGTCCCACTGAAGAGCATCATCTTCCTCTTCGGTCTCACATATGTGCATCGGAAAATACGTTTGGGCACCAACCATAAGATGGGACTTGTCAGCTTTTGACTTGATAGAGTCGAGACGTGCTGTCAGATTTTCCATTTGAGCGCTCAATCGAGCACACTCGAGCTCAATCTCCCCTTCTCGGTTTGCTTGGGCCATCATGCGATCGAGGATGAGATCAAGTTTGGCGTTGAATCCCGAAGAGTTGTCCTCGAGCTCATAGAAAGGTACGGGATGTGGACTCTATAGAGTCGATACGCCTTGCTAGACTCTCCAATTGCTCGCTCAAACGGGCACATCCGAGCTCAATCTTCTCCTCTTGTTTTGCTTGGGCCATCAATCGATCTAAGACAAGATCGAGTTTGGCATTGTATGCGGCCTCTTCTTCTCGAGCTGATTTGGACTCTATGAAATCAAGAATCTGGTCGAGCTTCTCGTTAAACTTGTGGGACTCATAAGTTTGCTCAACCGAAAAATAGTGCCAGCACTGCTCGGAAGAGCATGGATAAGATTGGGTGTGGTACTCAGCGGGATAGCTCGGCTCATTGCTCCAAGAGGGGTAGTGCAGGGAGGAGTACACGTGATTAAAGTTCATATCTCCTGCACACCAAAACAGAACAACCACACGCAGCCACGAAAAAAGAGAAACAAAGAAAACAAAAACAAAACGAAGAAAAAGAAACAAAGATGCACAAAAGAAAGAACGAAAACACGATAATTACAAACTAAAGAGAAATGTTGTAGCAAATTTTTTATGTTTTTACCGAGTACCGAATCGAAGGATTCGTTCCCCGGGTCGATCTCTCGAGGAAGACGGTTCGGAATTTAGCGTTAGTCTTGATCACACACGAAAAGAAAATAAGTCCTAAACACTCTAATCACGGTTGATTTGGGGAATCAACTAAAACAAGCTAGAACTAGAAAAACAATTTAAAGAAATAACAATTAAATTTCTAGAGAAAAAGAAGAAGTTCTAGGGGTCGGGAAATCTCATCAAGTATTAAACTATGTTGAACGCTTAATTGTTCGGTTACGAGATTAAACAAGCCTACACGTCTAGAGGACTATGCTCAATAACTCTTCGTAACAAGAGCACAAACATAAACGATAAATTCATTCAAACAGGCAACACATAGACAATACTTTTACGAACATGTCTACTCTATACGAGCCTAAATCGACCGACGTCTCCCCTCTCGGTTCTAAACGTC